CCCCTTCGGGGGAAAAGGGCAGCATATAAATAAAATAAACATTCAAACAAACATTCAACATATTTGCTTACTCAGTATAGAGAAAAACCCTACTTTGCCCCATTACCAAACCAAAGACTAGATCTAATGTTGTCATGCCCATTAAGCACCATGTATTGGAGACTGGTTAGCATTCCTTAAAAGAGAAGATTAAAGCTAGAGAATTGGATTAGAAGATAAGACTTCAAGGTTGCCTCGAGCCTCCAAAATTCCAAGTAAGCACACAGGCCTTAGATGCATCATTTGTTATCTTCAAAGGTAAGAAGGTGGTGGAGGCAACGGATGATGTCCACTAAGCTTTGTCCATGACTCCATAGTCCTAGTCAGCTGAATTGAAAGCAAAAGGAACATGGGAAGGGAAAATGGTAGGAGGGCATCATGACAACATCCAACCACTGCTCCATTGCTCCTCCAACAATAGCTGTCTTCTCCACCACAGTGTCCATACATTGCAGAGGTGGCATTCAGTAGGTTCTGACCAATTCTGGAGAAACGGTAGTGGAAATTTTGAGTAGTTTAGAGAACCAGAAAATACCACCTCTGGCTGGCCCCGCCCTATCTATTCTCTGCCTCCCGAGTCCCAGGCTGATTGGGAGGGAATGGGGATTTTACAGTATCCTTCCCCTGCCACGCCCACCAACCCACGCCCATCAACCCACACCCACAGAACCGGTAGTAATTTTGAATTTTGAATGCCACCCCTGATACATTGTAGTGAAATGCACTGCATTTCTATTTGAAGTTTAGTTATTAGGTGTTTTGCTATTCCTACAGCTTCTGCTCCCCATTGTAATATTTCTATTTCTGGAAGCTATTGGAAAGCCTAACCTCCCCTTTCTTAACTCAATAGGGATCACATCGCCAGGGTAAAGGCTTCTTAGAATTCTTTTAATTAAGAGGCTGTCTTTCTAAATTAAAACAAGAGTTAGTTTTGCATTTTTAACAATTAATCCTTTTTTTCCCCCTCCAACTCCTTGGTCGCCTTTGAAGTTTAAATTGAGCAGATCCTTCACAGGCTGGCAGTGGTCCCTATTCCAATTTTGTGCTCCAGAGCACTTCCAAATGATGCTGCTAGAATTCAGCAGCCAAATAGCCTATTTCCAGATGCACCGTTTTCAGAACCTTGCAAGCTTAACCCTTCTATTTTGCCTCTTTTCCCCCAGATTTGAATAAAGAGAAAGCTAAAGGAGTTGGCCACCCTCCCAAGCTGTGTCTTCACCATATCACTAGACAGGACCTCTTAGAGAGAGAGAAAACAAAAATGAATGACACAACTTCTCCATAACTGTCCCCTGCTTTCCTGGAGGAAATGCAGTCAATCATATTTCACCAATCTTCTTCCTGACCTTTAACGGTTCCAGCTTCGAAGATAAGTTGCAACTGGCCCAGTGTCATTCGACGTCGCACATTAGTCAATACATTTGCACAATCAGAGCTTGCTTCCCGTCCCTTTAAAAGTGATGGACTCTCAAAGAGAGAGTGCCTTATTCCCATCACGTTATGAGACAATTGTGCGAAAACGGGCTGTCATTTTGATAGCTGTCACAGAATGCATTGCCACCTCCACACCTCAACACACATCCACACAATACACACAGACACCCACGTGGGAAAGAGGTGTAAATTAGATATTTGTTCTCTGGACGGAGTCCTCCAGAGAAATATGATGTCAACGTTCCGACAGATGAACCCGAAAGCAAAGCAAGCATGGCTGAGACAATCTAATCTCTTAATGCAAAACTATATTGAGTACATCATATTGGCAAAGATGAGGGCAAAACCAGATCTGACTATTTCCCATGCAAACCCATACAGTTAAAGTTCAGCTTCTCCCTTCCCCTATTAGACCAGGTCACATTGTTCAATAGAATCGCCTGGTATTGTTGTGAAAAACTGCAGTGGTTAAAGTGCAGTACTTCAGCTGACTGTTAGCTGCAGTTCAGCGGTTCAAATCTCACCGGCTCAGGGTTGACTCAGCCTTCCATCCTTCCGAGGTGGGTANCCGGCGGGTGTTTTTCCCACGGCACACCTTACACTATGTCACGGCACACTAGTGTGCCGCGGCACAGTGGTTGAAAAACACTGTACTAGGGTAACAACGGGATGACAGCAAGGAATATAAATCCTTCCATTCACCATTCAGTCAGAACTGAAGAAGCTGGGAAGAGAAGTGCAACATGCTCAAGGAAAAACAAAGTCCAGTTGTTCTTTAGAAAAAACACTTGGGATTCTAAGCAGAACCATTACTCCTAAGTGAGGCTCTCCAGCCAGTTAGGGAAAGATTTTAGATTGGTTAGCCCAAAGTGTTTTTCCCCTGTCCCAAGAGAGCACGCTATGGTCCCCCCACCCTTTGTTTTCAGTGTGATGTCCCTGTGGACAGCTCTTTCAGCCAAACTAACCTTTACGCTAAATTCCTAGTAGAAAGGGCCTTTGGGATCTTAGGAAGAATGTAAAGTTATTTTCACTTGTATGGATGTGGTGGTACTGGCAAAGAAAGACACTGACTTTTTAGGAAGGAGGCCTGCTTTTAGACCTTGAGAAGCAAGCATCATTAAAAAATTGTTTATTATGAGAAACCCCAAAAAGCTATAAACAAGAGCCAACAGTTACCTTGGTACATAAATAACACTTTCCAGACACTCGGGAACTGGAGCGGCCTCCAGCTACATGGCACCAAAGCCAGGTCGGAAGCAGGCTGGGTCCCTGCCAAGGCAGCTCATGCGCTTGTCGGATGGGGGTTGCCAAAGCCAAGCCACCAATGCAGGGCCTTGGAAGTTAAGGCTGACCCAACTCCTGCAGTTCTGCATTGCACGCAGTTTCCTCCCGGCTTGTGAATGTACAAGCCACTAAGAACTGCAGACGGGTGACATGCAAGCTGCCTTTGATAGGTGTCTTCCTTGAAGAAGGGTGACAATATTCCCAATTTAGGGCTTGTGTAAAGGACTCTTAACTTAAAACACATCTGCTGGGCACAAGAAAAACGACATTTAACAAGGAAAGCCCAATAGCAACTTAGCACACGTATCGCAAAGCACCTAATCCACGTTGCCCAATACCCTGAAATAAACAGGCTGTCCTGCTGCTAAGGTTTGGCTGCTGACTTGACTGGATTGCACAATCGAGCCAGAAGCTGCCATGAAAGAGCTCTACGCTAGTAGGCGCTCCCCAGGCATGTTCGACTTCCACCTTGGCTGCGCTAGTGGGATTGTAGGAGTTGACATTCCTACGCATCTGGATGGTTGCAGGTTGGAGAAGGCTGGTGCAAACAAGGAGCCCCTTGCTAGCAAGTCACAGGGCCAAGTAAAAATGCTGAAGCAAAGATGATTCCATGGAAGAGCAGAGCCTGTCCCACAGCTGGACAGGATCCCCTCAGTCAGGGCGGGGAGAGCAAGTGGCCATCCTAATCTCGGGGTTCTATACGCTTCAAGCCTTCTGCTGGAGGAGTTGGTAATAGCACTTAGTCATATATATATATAGAGAGAGAGGCTGACTCTGTAAACCACTCGAAGAGTGCTGCAAAGCACTATGAAGCTATATATATATATATATATAGCTTCATAATGCTTTGCAGCACTCTTCGAGTGGTTTACAGAGTCAGCCTCTTGCCAAACTCAGAAGGATGGAAGGCTGAGCCAACCTTGAGCCAGTCAGGATCGAATTCCTAGTGGTGGCAGTCAGCCTGTAATACTGCATTCTAACCACTGAACCACCACAGCGAGAGAAGGAGATGGATGATGGAGAGAGAGCAATCACACTTATATATAACTCCATAGTAATTTACAGCCCTCTCTAAGAAGTTTACAGGGTCAGCCTATCGCCCACCAGCAATCTGGGTCCTCATTTTACAGACTGGAAGGATGGAAGGCTGAGTCAACCTTGAGCTGGCTAGGATCGAACTGCTGGTGGGCAGAGTCATCCTGCAATGCTGCATTGTAACCACTGACCACCACAACTGCCTGCTACATCTCTATCCCACCAGCTGGACCCAAGAATTAAGCCTGCTGGACTACCTTGCTAGCCTTGATCTGGAGAAGCATTTTCCCCACTTGCCACTGGGGGTCTGGCTCCCTCTCCCTTCTTTGGGTGGGTGACCAATGTCCAAGCAGAGGGCCATCAGAGAACCACATTTTTACCCCCAATGGGGATAGAATTCCTGGAAAGAGATCAACCATCCTTGGGATCAACCACTGGAGAAGCATTAAGGAAATGAACGACCCAACTTATCTTGATCATGTAAGTTTGCTCCCTTTGTGCTACTCTTCTACCCCCCCCCCCAAAAAAAGGCATACCCCATTGTGCAGGGAAATTGCCAGAGCTGCAGCACAACAACCAAAGCTAGAGCAGAGGGAACATTTTATTCTGCCCTGTGGACAGGATGGCTAGCAAACGACAGCCAAGGAGAATCATTGAGTTTGGGTGCTTTGAAAAAAAAATGTGTTTGAAAAATTGAGCAACAGCACACACCAAACATTTAAGTTGGATCATTTAAAAAAATAAATCCCCGTGTTTGGGTACTCGTTGAGGCAGTAATGATGAAAGGAGCTGAAGTCCCACATAAACAGTCGCTATATTAAGTCAATCCACGGCAACTGGACCCTCCCTGGCAAGGACTTAGGGGAAGCTCCCCTGTGGCCCCACTCCCGTTGGGGGGCACTTGTGCAGAACATGAGACTGCACAAACCTCTCCCTTCCCCACCCCCAAAGGCCCTGTCTGCATTCAGATTGTCCGTTGCTGCTCCTAACCTCTTGGGAAACCAACTGCCTGCCCCCGGGGAAGAAAAGGAAGCTGCCACCCCCCCTCCATTTATCCTTCCAGAGTTTCAGCTGGACAAAGACAAGAAGACACAAGGAAGAGAGTTGTAGAGCTTGTGCAGCAGGAAGGAGGAGAACAAGAGGGGCAGACATGGTTGCAGCAGGCAGGATGGGCTGCTTGTGGCAAGTCTCCTTGAGGGGGGGTGGGGTCTGGTCAGGACCCCCGAGAGAGAGTCTATGAGCGGCAGCAGCCAGTGCCTTTCACCTCCTTCCGGACGTAGTCGTGCAGTCTGAACCGGGACTCATTGGGCAGCTTCATGGACCGGTGTTTCAGCTCCCTGGCAATTGAACACAAGGCTTGGTCAGCTCTCCCATGCGCAGCCAGGCAGCTCCTCCTCTAACCCAACCCTCCTCCCAGAGGGGAGCAGCAGAAACACACTGTGAGCACATAGCACTTATAAGAAGCATCCTGAATAATGGGGAGCGAACTTTCTATAAACTTCTCCACTGTCCTCAACACTCTCTGTAGGGACTTTCTATCTGAGGTGCTTCTGCCATCAAACCAAACAGGATGCAGTTTGAAGTCTGGCCCAAAGCTACCCAGCCAGCTTTCATGCCTAAAGCAGGACTAGAACTCCTAGTCCCCTCGTTTCTAGCCTGGCGCCTTAACCACTAGGCCAAACTCATCTCATAGGCTGCAGTTACCCTTATCCAGACAGATTTCATGTCTCTTGTCTGCTTTGCTCCACATGTCTCTTCATCTCCCAGAATTTCTGATAGAACCTTTTCCCCCTCCGAAATGGTGGTGCCATGCTTGGCTGCACTCTCAAGAGTGTTTCTGGAATAACTTTATACCATCTAGCATCAACCTTGTTAACTCTCAAAGCTTTTCTATTATGTATTCCAAAATAGACCATTATCTATGTGTATATATGTATAGACACATGTATATGCGTCTATATGCATATGTCTCTCTCTCTCTCTCTATCTCTCTCCCTCTCTCTCTCTCCCATCTCTCTTTCTGAATTTCATTTTTTAATGTGTTCCAGTATATTCACAGAAAAAAGTGACAATGAAACTTATCCTATCCTTTCTTATATGTTAAGGGACCCTGCACTCCCTTTCTACTACTTATTCTGCCAAATGTCAGCAAACAATGTTCTTGGGAGCTGTGTGTTGGCGATGGATTTGCACTTGATGGGAAAATGGAAATGAAGGGACTTACTTGGCGATGGCCATGAACGCTAAGTCCACATTCAATCCGCTCTTGGCGCTGGTCTCCATAAACGGCACCCCGTATTCCTGCACCAAAGAAACAAGGCATTGGGGGCTCATTGTTTTCCTTTCCTTCTCAGATTGGGCATGGACAATCCCACACGGATTCTGTGGTTCCGTGTCAGAGTTGCCCTCTGCATGTATGCTATCCTAGAGAGGCTGCCTCAAGAGGTCCCTGGGGTGGAAGTACCTTTGGTACATTACCGCAGTCCAGAGATGCTGCATAAAATTGAATCCTACGATCCTAGGGTTGGGTGGGACCCTGTAGGTCTTCTAGCCCAACCTGCTGCCTTTCGCAGGAGTCCTCCTACCATCGCATGGACAGAGTGATGGACTCTAAGAAGCCGGAAGTTCCACTGAATAGAGCTAATTCTTTCAATGGAAGTCATCCTGTGATTTTTGTCTCTTGGCTGCACGAAAACGGAAAACAGATTGTCATATTTAAGAGAATTGCTTAAACAGGAGCCGGCAGTGTGCGGCAGCAGCCAAAAAGGCAAATACAATCCTTGGTTGTATAAACAAAGACCGAGGCAAGACCGAATGCAGTCTGCCACCCCTGCAAATGCAGAATGAGCACAATTATCTGCATAATTATCTCCAATTTCTTGTAAAGTTTTGATCTCTTCCAGCTGGGCATAGTGCGTAATTTTGCTTGGCATCTTTCCCTGTAATTTTCTATAACAAGGTGAAGCAGAAGAGATTAGCTATTGTGGAAGCAGATGCAACTTTTTGATGCTCTCCTGGAGCCAAATTGCCCGTAATTTTAATAACGAGGGTGCCCAACGTACCTTTGCTAATTTCTCCCCATCTTCTCTTTTCACCACTCGGTCTTGGGTTGAATCCACCTAAGTGCAACAAGAAAACATCAATGTTTGCAGCAAGAGCAGTGCATTCTGCTCGGATAACACGTCCCATCACCTGGGAGCTTGGTTGGACCAAACCAAGGTATGAGGTGGATGCGTGTTTTATTTCTTCCTGTGCAAAGCATCTCTAGCTTCCTCTGCCCTCTTCCCTTCTTAAACAGCTTCTATGTCCAAAACAGATGCAGTCCAACATCAGGCAGTAAGTCAAACACTCACCTTGTTTCCCAGCAACATAAGGACCACGTCTTGCTTTGCATATTCGTGGATTTCTGTCAGCCAAGCCTAGAAAGAAACAAGATAATCAGAGGTCACAGGAGCAACATTTGGAAGATACCGAGATATTTTCCAAAACTTATTATTTCCAGAGCTATTGTAAAGAATTGCATCTCCTCTTTCCTCAAGAGAGCACAACTATTGAAACAGGCATTATTTCCAAAGGAAACTTTTATTGGGAGAAAGTGATAGCAAGGAAAGCAAGGCAGGATCTGAAGTTCTCACTCAAAAACTGTTATGTTAAACATTGCAGAAAACTATGCCCAGTCTGAGGCGAGCCAATCCACAGGTGCGAAGTTGTGAGAACTTGAGCTGAGAAAGGTGATAAGAAGTTGTTTTCAGGTGCCGTTTTGCCCATTCCCTCATAGCTGAGACCAAGCAGATGGCCCTAGGCAATTCCCCCCACCCGCCCTTTCCCAAGAAGGTACATCAAAGTGACAGGAAGACCTGATACAGGAAAGAAGTTGCAAAGGAGCATGGAAGCCTCACCCCATGGTAGTGGTAGTGTCCCAATAAGGATCTTAGGGACCTGAAAGATATTTCAAGAAATCATACAACAGGAAAAGCTCTCCTGGTGTCTGCAGTCTTCATTTATTAACACAGGTGACTTGCGACAACAATTGAGAGCAGGATTTCAGTCTCTAAGCAATGTCATCCTTGTGAGTCATCATGTGACTGAACCCAATTTCACAGCCATTTTTTACCATAGTCGTTAAGAAAATCACTGCAGTCATTAAGTGAAGACAAAATATCACATGTGACTGGAGGAATGAAACAGTGGTTGTGCTTGTTTCTGTTGTTATTATTATCACAAGCCCCAGCATAAGATTTTTCAGTAGAAAAGTCTTGCTTGCTATTGTGCTATATCACATTTTGTTTCTAGTATGGTTTCGGGCACATGATGGTGCTAAAGAGTCAATAACTGTGGTGGGAAAGAAATAATCAGCATTTGCTTCAAACAGAAGTTCCGATTCCTATCATTAAAAGTGGATTTGTATCTATACAAACTTTCAAAACTTGGGAGAAGTATCATGCACAATAACAAAGTGTATGGGTGGAGTAAACGGATTTGCAGTTCTCCATTTTTAATCTCTCTTTGGGGAAGAAACCTGTGGATAAGCAATGTGTAATTGTTTAGAACCTCTCAGAAGCTAATGTCAAAAATCCTCTAGCACAGCATCATATAATTGGCCATCAAGTCTTGCATTAAAATCTCGAAAAGAGAAGCCCTCATTTCCTCAAGCGGTCTCCTTTTCTGTCAATCAACCCTGTCGTCCTCAAGTTTCATCAAAAACCCCAATCTATGTTTCCTCAATTTAGCAGGATTTGAAAACTCATCGCAAGGAAGAAGCATCATAGAAGCAACTCCCAAACCCCAACCAACCAACCACGTTATAGCACTTAGCAATAGCAATATCCCTTAAACCTATATACTGCTTCACAATAAGCACTCTCTAAGTCTCTGATGGCGAACCTATGGCATTCTTGACTGAAATGGCCCACGGAGCCATGTCGTCTGGCACGTGCATCATCGCCCGTTCCTCTTCCGGGTTTCTAGCGTGCATGTGTGCACACAACAATCAGCTGGACTTTCTGCATGCACCAATGCTAGAAACCAGAAGGTTTGAGGTTTGAGGTTTATTCGATTTATATGCCGCCCTTCTCCCAAGGATTCAGGGCGGCACACAACATTAAAAGAAAAATATGCTACAAAAGTTAAAAAGAAATTAAATAGGATATCCCCAAACCCAATTAAAATTAACAGTGACACATTTTTTAAAAAAGAATTCAAATTCAAATTAACAATAATCAATACTTTGATTTGTTTCTAGGTAGGTTGCAGTTCTGAAATATGACAGCACTGGAGGATAATGGGTT